ATTTACGAAGGGAATATGAGGTGGCATTTCGAAAACTTTTTATCGATACGAATTCTGTATTCTGGCGCTGAAGAAGACTCAAAGCTAAATCGAAAAACGTTCGCCTTTTCGAGGAATCGGAGTATATTTGTGAAGCTTTAAATTAAACATTCTTTTACTTACGAATAATCTACGCATCATTAAATGCTTTTTTTTTTACAACTACATTACTGTCTTACATTTTTTTTTATTTCTATTGACGAATCCGCGTTACGTTTATATCATTTCCCTGTATTGTTTCCTGAGAAATGTTCTTTTCTACCATTGTAAACTGTGACTTCAATCTCGTTTCAACTTACTTTTTTTATCTTTTTCTAGCTGTAAGAATTATACACGTTTTCTACCAGCGTGATTTAAATCTCGGTTATTGATTAATGTTTCATCTTTTTTTTTTTTCGTTTTAGAAATTAGAAAAAGATGAAGAGTAAGTTAAGCCGAGATTGAAATTAATCTACAGCAAAAATCGACATAAGCAAACCGCAGAAGGAAAAAAAGAATGGACGCGTGTTTCGTAATGAGCTCTTTTTTCTGAGATTAACGTTATTGCTTTCGATCACGTTACGCTTCATTCCTCACTTTTCCACATCCTCGCTTTTCCAAGCACTGCTATGCCGATCCCGCGCTATGCGAATCCTTCATCGAGCTTTCTATACGCTTTCATGTGGCTTTCGTGTTATTGCGGCTTGGAAACGCGGGCAGAGTGCAGAGGACCAAATCGGGGCATGTTTCAGGCGCTCGATAGTTATCATAAGAATGCTCCTATTATGGAATCGACTATGATAAGTTGGAGACATATTTGTTTCCCCGGAATTATTTCTCTCATAGTATTTCTGTAGACACGCTATTACGTATTCTCGGATGCTGCCGAAAGCGACGATCTCTCATAAATTTTCTCTTCTCTTTTTCGGCGACGCGATAAACGGACTGTCCGTATCCGACAGTTAGTTCTTATATATAAGACTGTCTCAAATACAATCTTAAGATGCCACGAACCAATCAGAGAGAGAGAGAGAGAGAGAGAGAGAGAGTTAAGATGGTATTACTTAAGATGGTATTATGATAAGAATCGACTATGAATATCGGGCTTTCGGGGACGATTCTGCGTAAATCTTAAGATCAACGTACAGACGCGATGTAACTCCTAATCTCGGAACCTGGTGCACCCTAAGCGAGATGACAACACGCTTGCTGATACTTCACAAGACGTGCATTCATATATATGCACGCGCGCGATCGCGTGTTGTATGTGTATGTTGTATACTTGAATGCGTGTGTGTGTGTGCATGTATATTTGGATACGTATGTACGCGCTTACAGCAGGAGCGCGGTCACTCGTACGAGAAAGAGTGCGAGAGACGGCGAGTGAATAAATGAGTCGCATGCGGGAGGAGAGAGGAATGGGGGAGGGGCGCGTGCGAGGAAGAGAGAAAGTGAGAGTGAGCGCGGCGCGGCGGGGGGGGGGGGAGGGACTGGGCAGAAAGAGAGAAAGAGGCATCGCGCGGGCTTTCCACCGCTGGGAGGTAGAGTAGTAAGAGATATGTATACGAAGGCGGTGTAGAGGCGCGAAGGGGGACAGGCGAAAGAAAGACGCACGCATATCGGTGGAGGAAGACGAAACGCGCGAGGCGGCGGGATAAGGACAGGGTCCGCGGGAAAGAGACGACGATGACGGCGAGGACGAGAGGGAGCGAAAGGAAGATGAGAGAGAGAGAGAGAGAGAGAGGAGGAGGAGGAGAAGGAGGAAGAGCGAGACGGAGACGGAGCGCGGTGTACGTAACGAGAGGGAGCGAGTCGCGGCTGCGTCATGTTCTCAACAAACTGGGTCAGTAGGTCTCCCCACCGCGCTCCGCGTCGCGCACATCCACCGCGCTCGTACACACGTATGCGCGTACACACATATCCGTACACGTACACACAGGCCTCACCGTGTGAGGCGCGCTTCGCGCTGGTGCTTGTCTCTCTCGGGGAGTGCCAACGGCATTGCTGTTGACCCAGCCGCGCGGCCTGGCCTGTACGTGTCTCGTGCCCGCGAACGCTTACCCGCGGCCGCGCTTCTACCTGACGATATATTCCTGCCGAGTGCCGAGTTCACCCGTCCTGCACTTTGAAAGCAAAAGTCGCTTCTCTCCGCGAGCGGTTCGCACTTGGCGCGCGCGCGCTCGTCCCTCCCTCGTAATCTCTCTCTGTCTCTCGCGAGCAGATCCCCTGCGTCTTCTTGTCTCGAGACGCGCGAAGAAGTCGGAAAAAAGAAAAAATGAATAAATAAAAAGATGACTCGGTCCTATCCCCGATATGTTCACGGAATGCGTCTTACGTCACTCGCAGGACCGGTCGCTTTCTCAGTCTTGCCGGCGGGATACCGCGAGATACCTCTTTCTCCTTTTTTTTTCCCCCCCCTCGTTCGCATACACGTACAGTTTAACACTATTACACGTTTTCAAAAATCATCCGCGCTATTAAAAAATTCTATCCCGAAGAGCCGGAGGCCCGATAAACGAGACGCGTGTTCGTCGCGCGTAACGAAACTTTGCGGAGAGGGAGGTGAGGACAAGGAAGGCGAGGTGCGGCGAGGCGGGGCGAGGCGACGCTCGCGGAGCGGGACAATATTTCTCCGGCCGACATAGACCTGGTTCCGTAAGTAGGTCATCCCCCGCCACAGATCGCGCAACCTCCTTCTCGGCGTACCCCTCCGCTCCCCTCCGCCGGTACCTTCGACCGCGGCGCGGCGCGGCGCGGCAATACCGTCCGCCTCCGCTCCTCTCTCTACCGCGCGACCGCGTGCTTACTCGCCCCCCTTCTCTCTCTCCCGCGCCCGCGCCCGCGCCAGAGACCTCTCAGGGTCGTCCTCCACACCGCGTCCGCGTCGGATACCTACCTGGCCGCCGCGGCGCGTGGTGGCATGCGCTGCTGAATCACTTTCACTTATGCCGTGCGCTGTGTTGGTTATACTCCGCGCGGCGCGTCTCTCTCTCTCGCTCTCTCTCTCTCTCTCTCTCTCTCTCTCTCTCGTTTCCTCCTTCTCGTCGCCTCTCGGTGTCTCGCTGCCCGTCGGTAAAGGGACACGCGCGCCTTCTCTCTATACCCACCGAAACGCTGAAGGAGCCTGACAGAGTAGTGCGCGCCTCGGCACCGCTCTTCGTGGCACAGTTTTGTACAATTTTCCGACCGTCCGTGTCAGTGGCGTGTGCTTGTCATCATCTTTGTTCTCCTTCTACCAAGCACAACGTCGCTCTTCTCCTCAATCACGCGTCAATGAACGTCGCTATACAGTTTTCGGAAGTGCGCCCGCTGACAATAACGTGTGAACGTGTAATCGGCCGCGCGTTATCGTGAGATGAGAGTGAGATGATTGTGGCGTAAGAATACTGACAGCAGCGGAGCAGCAACGATCCGGCAACAGCATACCTGGAGTACGCGCCACAGGAGAACGACGTAGGCACCGTCGTGGGTCGTCCTCATCGTCCTCATCGTCGTCGTCGTCGTCGTCGTCGACGACGACGTTGTTACCACCGCGCGCTCGCGGCGATACGTCACGTATGCCGTGTGTGTCTCGCAAAGGCGGCCTCCCTGGCGGTCTCTACCTACCTACTCCATGTGCCGACGGTAGGGCAGCGGAGGGGAGGGGGCGGGCCCTTCGGGAAAGCAACGAGCCGAGAGGACAACTAGTCGTACGCAGATAGGCGAGCTGTCAAGTTGCTCCGCTTGATTCCGAGTCGACTAGAATCGACTACTCTCGTTGATCATTCGCTCGATCGTACGTTCGTTCGTTCGTTCGTTCGTTCGTTCGTACGTACGTAGGTTCGTTCGTTCGTACGTTCGTTCGTTCGTTCGCTCGCCGGCACTACATTAGTCATCCGAATTATAGTGCGTTATAGTGTTCCGCGCCTTCCTCCGTTCGCGATAATACGATCGCGATTACGTAGCGTGCTACACTCGCCGTGTTTGTTGACAGTCGTCGGTAGTTCGTGTACACCTCGTGTGATCGCTGCCGCATGTGTGCCCGTCCATCTGCCTTCATCCGTGGTGCACGCCGGACGTGGTGTACGCGGATGGACGTATTCATCATCGTACAGCGCGAGTCTCGTCATTCGCATCGTGCTCAGCGATAAGTTGGATTACAGTGCGGACAGGAGAGGAAACGACGACGGCGGTTTGAAAGGGGGGCACCTTGGTGTGTTTGCCTTCGCTCGACTGGATCCGTTTCGACAGTGGCGAATGTTCACGCGGGTACATTCGACGATTGTTATCATGCCTCGGACGTAGTCCCGTCGACAATTCCGACTGACACAACTTTGTGTATCCCGCGTATATACGTTTGTTGGTGCGCGATGGTTTTACTCGGTAAACGTGTGTAATCCGTGCGTGGATGTGTGTGTGTGTGTGTGTGTGCGTGCGTGCGTGCGTGCGTGTGAGTGAGAGAGAGTGAGAGAGAGAGAGAGAGAGAGAGAGAGAGAGAGAGTGTGCGAGACTGATGATCGATATTCTTATTCGTGCCACAGGGAACCAAAGTCGAGTGTGTGTTCCCTCTTCCCGCGTACACCCGCTGTACAACTCTGTTCCTCTTTACTACGAATTGTGCCGGCATTTTCTTTGTTGACGTCTACGTCATCGTTACCGTCGTCGAGGACGACGTCAGCGGGTGCTCCAGGTTACTTTTTGCGAAACATTAGACCAACCGGTGAATTGTTGTTCTCTCGCGACTCGCCAATCACGGATCGGGAGCGATGTCCCGCGAATATGACGAACTGAACGGAATAGATAGACACGAATATATATCCAGTTATACCCCCAGATGTAATTTATTAATCATCCCGAAGAAGTCAGCTTGATCAGCGTATATACACGACGATATATACTCGCTCGCAACGGAGGGTGCCCAGAGATTCGATAAAGAGATCTTTTAGGAAGAGAAAAAAGGAATATATATATATATATATATATATACACACATTTATATACATATATATATATATACATAGTTAGAGAGAGAGAGAAAGAAAAAACAAAGCAAATCAAAAGGAACGTTTTATATCGTCGCGTCGGCCGCATCTGAGAAGGGGCGGAGGGGGGAGGGGGAGGGGGCTTTTAAATAGCCCCGTTTGATATATGTGCCGATACGTGAGCACGTCCGTTCGTCGTGCGGTGCTTCTCGCGCATGGGTGATATGTTATTGGAGATGGAGCAGCATTCGGGCCTGATATCCCTGAGCATGTCGCCGTTCCACCTGAGTCCGCAGGGCAGCCCGCAAGCCACCGCAGGGCAGCAGCCCCCGCAACAACAGTCGCAGCCGCATTACGGCTCGTCGGCTTATAGCAGTTGCGCGCAGAGCTCGCCATCGCCCATGTGCCATCAGCCGCAATCCCAATCGCAGCAGCAGCAGCAGCAGCAGCAGCAGCAACAAAAGTCGGTTCACAATCAGGCGGGACAGTCGCAGGGTATGTCCAGTTTCGAGGCCGCCTTCTTCGATTCCGCCCCTCTCGAGGATCTTCGGTGTCCCATGTGCGGCCACAAGAATATATCCAGCTATCAGCTCGGTCTGCAAGGTCTCCTCACGTGTGAGAACTGTAAGAATTTCTTCAAGCGCAACGGTTCACCGTGCAGCAACAAAAAGGTCTACACGTGTCTTTTTCCTCAAACGGGGAGTAACGGCGGTGGCGGCGGCGGCGGCGGCGGTGGCAACGGCGGCGGTGGCGGTAATAACGGGGGTGGTGGTAGCGGCGGCGGTGGCGGCGTCGGCGGCAACTGCGGCGCGTCCTCGGCGCTCGAGATCTGCGCCAACAAGAAGGTGTATACGTGTCTGTTCCCGCCAACAGGAGCCGGAAGCGGTAACGGAGCCTGCGGCGGTACATCCACCAGTCTAGAAGGTAACGGCGGTGGCGGCGGAGGTGGCGGTTACACCGGCAGCAGCGGTGGCGGCGGCAACGGCGGCGGTACTGCCGGAGGTGGTGGTCCAGGCGCGGCTAACGCCACGGTCAGCGGCGGAGGACCGGCCACCGCCACGGGAAGTGGCAACGTCGCCGCCGGTGCGGTCCCGACCGGCGGCGGTACCATGTGCCACCCTGGACTGGTCGGCCAGGTCGGCATCGTCACCGGCTCGATACCCTGCCCGTCCGATTTCCCGGATACCAAGGATATCATCATCGAGGAGCTGTGCCCCGTCTGCGGCGACAAGGTGTCCGGTTATCACTACGGTTTACTCACCTGTGAGTCCTGTAAAGGATTCTTCAAGCGCACCGTCCAGAATAAGAAGGTCTACACGTGCGTCGCTGAGAGGTCCTGTCATATCGACAAGACGCAGCGGAAACGGTGTCCCTACTGCCGCTTTCAGAAGTGCCTCGAGGTCGGCATGAAGCTCGAAGGTGAGTTTCCTTTTCTACTTGTCGAACGGTTATTACCGATTATTACCTAAGTAGTGATTACGGTCGAGTAACGAAACACAGAGTTCGAAGGTAATTTTTCGTTTAAAAACTTCCTCTGAACGCCACTGCCTATGAGGGAACAGAATGTCAACAAACAATTTTTGTTTCCATTCGCTGTTCGTTCCTTCGCTTGGCGTATATTTATTTTCCAGTATGGAAATGTCAACTGAGATAATTTAATCAAAAGAGATAATTTTCAATAAATTAAAAGAAATTTCCATATTAAAAATATATGACGATTATATTGTGAGATTATAATGACAGAGAGAAAGAAACAACAGTGATCGAACTAGAAGCAGTTGAATAAAAATTATTTGTATAAGTACTTTCATCAAGATATACGTATAAGAATATGCTGTTTATGTAGCGGTGAACGTTATTCGATGCCATCCACAATACATAATTTGCGAAATGTCTGCGATAATTCTGTATTGTGGTGTCATTGAAAAGCGACCTCCGAGAAGGCACGAAAGGAAGGAAAGATAAATTTTTTTTCGAGTTGCGACATCTTTTTGTGTAGTATTTTTAATAGGAAAAGATGTTGAATAATACAAGTTTACCAAAGTATTTACGTATCTCATCGATAAACTTCATTCTTGGGAAGCAGTAAAAGGAAATATTCGGGCCAAATAACGAGCATTTAAAGAAGCATCAACATAATGAATTTACTCTTGAAAGAGAATAATAACATATGTTTCTACTATATTGAGTCTTAATCAATCGAAAGCGCAAAGGATTATATCATCGCGTATGAAATCAAAAATAAAATAAAAATAATAAAGGAAAATGAATAAATATAAACATAAAATTAAACCGCGTAATAAACGAATAAAGTAAAAATAAATCTCCGTCTCTTATCAGGTAAATAAATAGCGAACGGTAGTTAATTAAAGCAAAATTGGTATAATGCCAACATATATTTATGTAGTAAAAAGTCATCGCGTATTTTTAAAAGACATCTATCAGTAAAAACCGCAATTACTTTCTTACCAACAATATAAATATATCTTAATAGAGTAAAGTTTCAGCTTTAAAAATCTCTTTTTTAAATTATACGATACGACAATTTTTAATGGAGTTATGAGCAATTAAAGTCAAAATAATTCTTTTATTTAATCCGCGATAACTCAGTAATCAAAAGTCGTAGGAATATTAAAAAAAAACGATTTTGTAGGGAAAGTATCAAGCTTTCACGATAGGTAATCGAAAATTTTCTCAACTTTTTTTTGGACACGTTACAAATCCACAAAGTGAGAAGAAAATTTTTCGTCTTTTTCAGCTCGTAATTTTTGGTATGTAAAAATTATCAAACTCATATAAACTTAAAAAATGTGATAAGCTTTTAAAAGTAGAGATTTCAAGCTTTAAAACCCTTTTTTTAAATTTGAATTTCATTCATTATTAACGAAGATATTGTATATACAACTTTGAGCTAAAAAATACGCGATGACTTTTTACTACACCTAATATTTAGATGTAAACAAAAAGTTTCTCGAAATTGAATCAATTCATTAAATCACCCAAGAAACGAATATAGATTCATAACTCGCTGTATAGATAATATCTCGCGAGAGGATTTTATCAACGGTTTTCTGTAATAAAAACATTGCTTTATATGCATACGTAAAGTTAGAAAAAAACCTAAATTGAATTCGATTGGATGCAGCGCTTACTGATGAATATTAAAACACAAATTGATGTAAAAATGTGTGTTTATATGAATTTAGAAATCGATTAAATCGTGAAAATTCTCAATATATTTTATTGTACTGTTACATAAAATATATATTTTACAATTCAAAGTATTTACATTTTACTTTTACATTTAGATTAAATCAGTGCTCGGTTTAACTCTAGCTATACACTAAGATCCCAGAAATCTCAATGCAATTTGTTAAATTGAGATTTTTTCGTGTTTCTGAACTTTTCTTTTTCTTTGAATTTTATATATATACGACTATATATCTTTAATTCTATCGACTTTAACACGTCATGGACTTGTTCCTTAATCAATTTTCCATCGATTGAAAAAAAAAATTAATTGAAATATGTCCATTTTTATCCGAGTGTGTATATCGACTATCAAAAGTAAAAGAAAAGTGTGTATAACTAGGATTAATATACACTGTATAATAGATCGAACAAAAATTATTATAAAGTCAGTGAAATAGAATGTGAAGAATACTTGAATTTTCCAAATTTTATGTGTTTATATAATAAAAGACTGTACTACAAAAAACAAAATACGATAGAATTAATTCCAATCAATAAATTGTATGATGAAGGTTATCGTCTGAATCGCGATATTGGATAACAGTGTAACATTAATGTGCCTTACATATAACTGATAACAAGCTAATAATACGCGCAACCAAATGCACTTTGATAAAACGTTATTGAACCGTGCCTCTTAAAAGTTGTAACATCTGAATGTCTTATTCTAGAAAAAAAAAAAAAAAAAAAAAAAAACGTTAAATGTAAATCTCTCTACACGTACTCGTATATCAAATCCACGCCCGTATTTCTCTGTATTACTCGAATAGTTTTATACTGGACACGCGAACGTATTTTTTTCATTGTTATAAAAAGAATCTGTGCATATCTAATTCCGCGAGTACGTAATCGCGCATAATGTGCCGTATCGTGCGCGTCATGTCATTTTAATAATTTCTCGTTTTACTTTCACCAGACGAAAGCGACGTTTTTCCGCCAATAACGGTTCGGTGTCATCGGCGTTATTATCATGTTTTATGTTATCTCCTGTCGAATATCTCCGTGCGTGCGCTCGTGCCACTAACCGCACGTTAAAAGCCGTTTACACGCGTGTTCGGTCGTCGTCGTCGCCGTCGCCGTCGCCGTCGCCGTCGACGACGGCTCGGTTCTCATCAGCGTAACGCTCGGACGTTTTCGCACCACGCTCGTACGAACTTAACCTTATTACACACCGTGGAAGCGATTAAGTCTCACCGCGTGCTCCCTTTCGCCGTTTTAAAGCTCGGGAATGCGCGCTTGACGGCAAGTGATGGCATCGTACCGCTTATAGCCGCGAATCGATCGTGCACACCTCTTCCTCGCGATATTCGAGTTGGAGCGGAGAAGCGGTCGTTACTACACGCTGGACAAACGAAATTACGTCACCGCGCAGCACTAGTAACACAATTACGCGCCATTATCTATGTGCTTACGTTCGACCCCGTTAAAATTCTTGTGTCTACAATTTGTTTCTAATTAGCAGACTTTATGGACTTCGGTAGTGTGTGTGTGTGTGTGTGTGTGTGTGTATATATATA